TTTCAAGACATCTTCTTGTTTATTATTTAATTATCTAAAGCCTGTTCTATTTTCCCATGCAAATCGTCCTGTTGTCCTCCACAGTGGACATGCTATGAAATTAAAATTAAAAATATTTTTTTTTAAATTGAAATTGTAATGTTCTTTTTTAGGTCCAAATACATGGAAAATCACAACAAAAAAGACATTTGAAGACACTTTTTTTCTTTGGGTCTCAGGAGGATATACAGTGCATTACAGTGCCAGAAAGCAAAACTCACGCCGTTCGTCCGTTCGTTCGTTCGTTTCAGGTCTCATCGACGAGGAGGCGGCCCGCAGGAACTCGGAGCTCCACATCGTGGGAATGGTGGGCTCCATCGACAACGACTTCTGCGGCACGGACATGACCATCGGCACCGACTCCGCCCTGCACCGCATCATCGAGGTGGTGGACGCCATCATGACCACCGCCCAGAGGTGGGGACCAGAAACACAAGCTGTGTGCTCTGTCTGTTTTTTTTAAAGGGGACATACTATGCAAAACCAAGTTTTTAACATTTTGTAGATTTGGGACTGTGGAGGGCCTATCAGCAGGCAAAGTGTGGAAAAAAAACACTCGGTCATGTTTTTGTGGGCCGCCTCAGTCTGAATCCAGGAGATAAATCAGGAGGTTTCAGGAGTGGGTAGTTTCTGACGTCATTAGCTCTAGCTCATTATAATATTCCAGCCTTTCACCTGCATGTTGCCCCCCACCTCAGCTTACCCCCCTATCTGTGGAGACGTCCTGGTAGCGTGAGCGTTAGCATGGTAGCGTTAGCATGGTAGCGATAGCGTGAGAATGGTAGCGTGAGCATGGTAGCGTGAGCGTTAGCATGTTAGCGTTAGCATGGTAGCGTTTGCCTGCCGACGTGGGCACACCTCCCTGAAGAAGTGGGTGGATTGCCTGTGTCTCATTTGCATTTAAAGAGACAGGCACTCCAAAGCGAACGCTCTGAACGGGGCTGTTTTGGGTTAGGGTTAGGGTTAGGGTTAGGGTTAGGCAGGGGGACTGAACTGCTATTGGGCTTCATCCTTATGGGATTTTGACCAAAGATTGTCACACACATTACATTAGGACACCAGGGAACTAGGTTAACTTGTTGAAATAGGGTATAATATGTCTCCTTTAAACTTTTTTTCTGTTTATTTCCAGCCACCAGAGGACATTTGTCCTGGAAGTGATGGGCAGGCATTGTGGGTAAGTTCACTTATGGACATAATCTGTGTTTTATAGAAGTCTTAAGCATCCTTTTCCATCCGTTCAACGATAATTGGGTAAAACGAGGGTTTCTGTGTGTGTCCAGGTACCTGGCTCTGGTCAGTGCCCTGGC